TTCCCTCCGGTATGGAAAAGAAAAAAAAAAAAGGAAAAAAAAAAGAAGGGAAGAAAAAAAAAAAAGAATAATTAATTTTATCTTATCTGCCTGGCTTTGGTGTTTTGATTTCTAGAAAGGGCAAGCTGCGCTGTGGTGCGGAAGCCCCTTGGGCAGTCCTCGCCTGCTCTGGGGGGCCGGGGGCTGCAGGAGGGGCCGTGGCGGTGGCGGCAGGGCGGGGGGCAGGGTGCGGGGCGCAGCCCGGGCTGCGGGGCTCCCGCCCCCGGAGCCACTCCGCACCGCGGATCCGGGGGCGCGCAGGAAGCGCCTGGCCGAGCCCTCCGCGGGCACCGCCGCTTCGAGGAGTCGGGGACCCCCCGGGCCTTCCCCCTACTTGCCCGCGGCGCTTTGGGGCCGGTTCCCTACCTGCCGGGCTCTCTGCGGGATTTGGAGGCTGCCTTTTTGGAGGCGATGCGGGGCCTGTGGCCCGGCCGGAGCGCCCAGGGCTTGCCTGGGTGGCCAGGGGGCGACCCTGCTCGGCGTGGGGAGCTCGCCCAGATTTCGGGTTTATTTGGAGAGCGGCATGTGGCGGGGTTACTCTGGCTATGTTGTACGGTGGCGGAAAAAGGAAAAAAAAAAAAGGAAAAAAAAAAGAAGGGAAGAAAAAAAAAAAAGAATAATTAATTTTATCTTATCTGCCTGGCTTTGGTGTTTTGATTTCTAGAAAGGGCAAGCTGCGCTGTGGTGCGGAAGCCCCTTGGGCAGTCCTCGCCTGCTCTGGGGGGCCGGGGGCTGCAGGAGGGGCCGTGGCGGTGGCGGCAGGGCGGGGGGCAGGGTGCGGGGCGCAGCCCGGGCTGCGGGGCTCCCGCCCCCGGAGCCACTCCGCACCGCGGATCCGGGGGCGCGCAGGAAGCGCCTGGCCGAGCCCTCCGCGGGCACCGCCGCTTCGAGGAGTCGGGGACCCCCCGGGCCTTCCCCCTACTTGCCCGCGGCGCTTTGGGGCCGGTTCCCTACCTGCCGGGCTCTCTGCGGGATTTGGAGGCTGCCTTTTTGGAGGCGATGCGGGGCCTGTGGCCCGGCCGGAGCGCCCAGGGCTTGCCTGGGTGGCCAGGGGGCGACCCTGCTCGGCGTGGGGAGCTCGCCCAGATTTCGGGTTTATTTGGAGAGCGGCATGTGGCGGGGTTACTCTGGCTATGTTGTACGGTGGCGGAAAAAGGCATTCCCATAGAGAGCTGGCAAACGTTTCTGGAATGAGGGATTGCTCGAGCATAGGGCTGTTGCTGGCGCGTATTATTTATTCTCTTCTATTTTCAGCCTTTGTGACCCGGTTTGTGCTCGTCTGTGTAAAATCATTTTTCAAGGAGAAAAAGAAAATTGGCAAAAAATGAGCCCTCGAAGGCAGGACGGCCGCGGGGCTGGCGGGTGTTGTGCGTGTCGCCCACTCCCAACCCTGCTTTTCCCTTCCAATGAAAATGAACATTTTGGTGGGAGTTGGAAGCAGGGGAACAGAGGTCACTTTGTGTGCTGCTCTGCTTCCCAAGGAAACCGTGCTTGGTGGACTTCTCTTCCTGCCCTAGCCCTTTGCCTTCCAGAAGAGCCCGAAAGTGTCTCCCTTTCATAAAACCGGCTACTGAGAGATGTTCTGTTTCCCTATCTCTCGGTTGAGATTGTCTCTGGCGCCCTGGCACAAGCGCGCAGTGTCTGGGCTCGTAAGCGAGGGGAAAAACGAGGTGATCGGGACTCGGGCTTTGAATTTCGTGACCGGTGTGGATGCCAACCGTGAGTTGCTGGAAGCGGGCGGGCAGAGCCCACTCGCACGCGTGAAGGGGACTTGGCTTTCCTGAGTGAACCGTCACCCCGCTCATCCTCTGCCCGAGCGGCGGCCAGCCAGCATCGCTCCCTCTAACCGGGAACCGGCACGTTGCCGAGCGGCGGGTGCCCCGGCCAGCAGGGCTACCGTCCCCGCGGGTGGCTCTGTAACACGCACACCCGCCCCCCACCCCCTCCTGGTCGCCCGCGGAGCCTGGGCTGGGCGGCGATGCGGGGCGATGCGGGCGGGGGGCTCCGGCGGTGGGCAGGAGGCTGCCCGGGCGGCGCGGCCCCAGGTGATCTCCGCACCTCCTCCGCCTGTCTCAGCCCCGCTGGAAAGATGAGGGGGGAAAAAAAAAAAGGGCTATATTTGTACAAACGCCGCGCTCCTCTCTCCGTGCTGGGAGGGCTCTTTGGAGAGATCTTAGGAGCCTTTCCGAGGGGCTGATATAGATATAAGGACATTTCTACATCGCGTCACGTGACATAATTACCACTAGAATCAATCAAGATGAATTGCACGTCAGCACACGGTGGGGATTTTTTCTTAGTTGATCCTGTCCAAACCCTCTTGTGCAATAGATGGATCTTGTTCAATGCATTGAAGCCTCCTGGTTGCTTGCAATCGCAAAAAGGAAGACATGACTGAGTTTGACGATTGCAGTCACGGCACATCCAATATGTATCTGCCAGGGTGCGCTTATTACGTCTCACCCTCAGATTTCTCGACGAAACCCTCTTTTTTGTCGCAATCCTCGTCCTGTCAAATGACTTTTCCTTATTCTTCTAATTTACCTCATGTCCAACCTGTGCGCGAAGTGGCATTCAGGGAATACGGATTAGAGCGCAGCAAATGGCAGTATAGGGGCAGTTATGCTCCTTATTACTCAGCTGAAGAGGTGATGCACAGAGACTTTCTGCAGCCTGCGAACAGGAGGACGGAAATGTTATTCAAAACGGACCCTGTCTGCGGCCACCACGGACCGTCTACCGCCGCCTCCAACTTCTACAGCTCGGTGGGGAGGAACGGCATCCTGCCGCAAGGCTTCGACCAGTTTTACGAGACGGCCCCCGGACCCCCGTACCAGCAGCACTCCGAGGGCGAGGGGGACGCGGACAAGGGCGACTTGAAAGCCCAGAACAGCACTTGCAGTAAAACACCTTCCAGCCAAGAGAAGAAAGTGACACCAGCCAACAGCGCCGATTCCCCTTCTGGTGAGGCTGTTGCAGAGAAGAGCAACAGTTCAGGTAGGTATCAGCAGTAAATTGGGGGCAAGAGTACAAGGCCAACACTTTGTCAAGCCGCATTTTATGTGCAATTTTATAAGCATCCAAAGGATTTTATATATCCTATAAGATTTCCTTTACCGTTGTAAAGCGTGTTTACGATAGGAAACCAATTTAGGTGGGCTTAAGGTATTCTTGGAAGAGGATATTAATTGTTATTAAATTGTTGATTTGGCGGGGGGGAGACGGGGAGATTTCACAGGTAGTGCTCAGAGCCGCCTTCGGTTTGGAGCTTAAGATCTTCGTTTGTTTGGGGTGGGGTGGGTGTGGGTGGGTGAGAGGAGTTTGAGAAACTTGGAATTTTTCCAGCCCATTTAAATATCTCGCTGTATTGCTCGAAGTGCTGTCTTTTAAGGAGAAGTTGGGAAATATTCGCTTTTTTGCTAAGTCACCCAGAGAGTAAAAGCCCCGGGAATACTTTTTTCAACTGCTAGAGGGCTGCTTTCCAGGCAATGGGATATTGACAAAGTCTCTGGTCTCTTCCTAGCTGAGCGTGTTCGTAGCAGCAGCATAAATCAGTTTCTTCTCTCTTGAATTTCAGCAATTCCCCAGCGATCAAGGAAAAAGAGATGCCCCTATACCAAATATCAGATAAGAGAACTGGAACGGGAGTTTTTCTTCAACGTGTACATAAACAAAGAGAAAAGACTGCAGTTGTCCAGAATGCTCAACCTCACTGACCGGCAAGTTAAAATTTGGTTCCAGAATCGAAGGATGAAAGAAAAGAAACTGAACAGAGATCGACTCCAATATTTCACTGGGAATCCCTTGTTTTGAAAAAAAAAAAAAAAAAAGGAAAAAAAAAAAGAAAGGAAAAAATAAAAATTAAAAAAAAAAAAGAAAGAGAGAAAGAAAAAAAGAAGAAAGAAGAAAAACAAATCTCGGTCTCTGTGACCTGCCATCTGAATGCAAAAGTAAATTGGTTTACATGACACATCCACCCTGCGGAACTCAAAGTTTCATTTTCACGTGCAACTCCACACACTGAATGGCCACTGGAGATTTCGGGGCTTGGCGGAGCAGATTCCTGATAAGGGAAAACTAGGGTAAATCCAACTGTCCACTCTCAAGTGTTTCTCGCCAAAGGTGCTTTTTATTCCTCTCCCACAGTACCAGCAATGGACCTGCAGTGTGTCTGGTAGTTTTTGCTTACAATTCATTGAGTTCGGGGGGGCTGTGTTGTTGCTTTTGAGCTAGGGTAACACTTTCCTCCCTTTAAGTGAATGCGGTTTATTTAAGAGATGGTAAATGTACGTTCGCTATATATAAAATATATATATATATGTTTCTATTGTCATCCAAAAGCATGGGCCACTGTCTTTTTCATGTGAATAAATGGTTTCTAGTAAAGTTAAGGTTATAACTTCCGTGCACTGTATGGATTTCCCTCTCCGAAGGATGCTAGCGTTTCCCGGGCTAGCCAAGTTCAGCTAAACAGTAACGGGAGGAAGCCTAGTCGGGTTATTTTAAATGCTTTTTAAAGAAATAATAGTTTAGATGCCTAACTCTGCCTTTGTAGGTACGCCTAACCTTCCCTGCTCGCTGTGAGGCAGAGCCAACATGGCTGCAGACCATCGCTGCTGATGGTGATACAATTACTATTAGCAACGAAAAAGGCTGCTTTCTTTCTTTTTTTTTTTTTTTTTTTAGACCGATCAAGCTCCCAGTAAGCCCAGAATTCCCAATGCCAATGTCTGTTTACTTGTTAGTGAAGGGCAAGGCAGAAAGACGGGGGGCTCGGAGCGAGTCAGACAAGAGGGAGCTATAAACAATTGGCACTGGCGGGGGGAAAATAAAAAAAAAAAAAAGAAAGAAAAAGAAAAAAAAGCTCGGGAGGCAGAGGGGTGGATCTCTTAAAAAATCCTCCCTCGGCAGGGCGAGCAGAGCGCGGAGCCGGGCCGGGAGCGGGGAGCGTAGCCCGGTGCCCCGGCCGCGGCGGGCCCTGCGCGGGGGCCGGCACCGGCGGAGGTCCGCTCCGCGCCTCGCCGCGCTTTATCTTGCGTGACCTGGCTGGGCTGTTTACAAAACCTTGAACTGTCTAGACAACACCATAAAACTCGAGGTTCTAAACAGCTTAATTGGGTTATATTATACACCTTCTGGTGGGTGAAAAAGAGATTTCCGCAATGTGCAATAAAGGCGAGGAGTGAGAAAAGAATTTGCCTTTTTTGAATAGGACGAAGCGGCTCTCGCTACGGTCGCACGCAGGGAAGGTAAAAGTGCCCAAATAAGTCAGGAAAAGCCGAGAATTCAAAAAATGGATAAATGGAAGCGGAGGGAGGCATGACCGAAAAAAAATTTTTTAAACCCTTTAGCAAGAAAAACATAAGTGTATGCCTTTGAACTTCCAAAATGTCAAGGTCATCACCTTTAACCTTTCTGAATAATTAGGCGCCTTAAGGTTCCTCTGTTATTTTCAACCACCACCCACTCTCTCTCTCTCGTCTTCCTCCCCTCTCTCTCTCACACACACACGCACAACCACACACACGCTTATTACCGCATAGCTCGCCATATTAGCAAATGCATCATAACGCAGAGAAAATTCCGTCTGGGTCGAGGTGAGCTCTCCGCGGCGTGCGGGGAGCGTGTCCCGCTCCGGTCCCCGCCAGCCGGAACACGGCGGGCTCCCCGCTTCCCTCGCCTTTCCTTTCCGCGCCCCGGGAATTCCCCCCAAATCTTCCTTCTTTTTTTTTTTTTTTTTTTTTTAGCTCTTTAAAAAAATATATTTTTTTTGCTAAAAAAAAAACCCAAACAAAACAATGCGGGGGCTATAGAAACTGCTTCGTAGTTTAGGGAGGAGGATTATATTTCTATGCAGCTTTTGCCGACAAAGCCCATTAATTAGCAATGCTCAAAGTCGCGGGGAATTTCTCAGAGCATTTCGCCTGACCTTATAGCAAAATTCCCTTGTCTCTCCCGAGTCTTAATCCGCAGGGCGAGAAGGAGTCGCCTGATTTTCTGTTCCCTGCAGTGCTTTAACGCTGTCTCTTAGCGGATTATTACGCCTTTAAAACGCTAAGACACGGCACGAGAGGGCCGCGGAAACCGAGGATCCCTAGCATTAATCTTGCATAAATGCTCAATGATAGCAGTTTTAAGTTTCTATTTAAAAAAAAAAAAAAAAAAAAAAAAAATGCAGTTTTAAGTTTCTATAAAAAAAAAAAAAAAAAAAAAAAAAAAGGGGGGGGGGGGGGGGAGGAAAGAAAGGAAGAAATCCATGAGGGAGAGCAAATTGAGCTGAGGAGAAAGAGCCCGGGAGGGGAGGAAGGTCCCCGGTGCTTGGCGCCCATCGGCCACAGGAGGGCGCACCCAGGCGCTGCAACGCCCGCAGCGCTCCCGGCGCTCCGCTCCCCTCTCCCCCTAATAATGATTCCACCGCTAATAAAATATCTAATATATAAGTAACGATAAGATTTCAGGGCCTTCCAAATGAGAAAATAAAGCATCAAAAAGATTTATTAAACAAATAACCCATAACCGTGACGTGCTGGAGAAATATGCCACTTTAAAAGATTTTTTTTTCCCCTCTTTTTGGGTCGTAATCTTTTATAATGCATCCGAGCTTTAAAAAAAAAAAAAAATCCCATAATTTTAAGAAAAAAAAAACCAACCCAGTGATATTCAGAATTCGTTCCCTAGAACGAAAATCTATTTAGTTCTTTAAGGTCAGCCTTAACGCGGATGGAACAAAAGTAATATAAAAACCATGCATTTCCACAGTTTATCTTCGATTCTTATTTGAGGCTTTTCTTAGATAAACCTCTAGGTGCAGAAATCATAAATTTAAAAACATATTTTATTTAAAGGCGAGATTAACGTTAGATCCTGAGAGTGTTTATTTTTTTAAAGAGAGAGAGACTAAAGCGAAAAGAAGATATTTTTAATATTCGAACATCACCTTGCCAAGGCATTGCTGAATGAAATCCCTCTCCTTTAAAGTACTATGGAGATCTATTAAAATGAAACTAGAGATTAGAAAATTAAAGCGAAGCTTATGAATTTCCTGGACGCTCTCCAGTGACCGAGTATGTTCCGTTTTTCTGGTCCTCTGTTTCATTTTTTTTTCCCCTCCAGCGCGCACTTTTGATGAGAATCTGAAGAAAGAAAGGACTTCGCTGCTTTCTGCTTATTTGCAGAATTCATCGAAATCTATTTCCCGTTGTCTCAGCCATATTCCGCAGTTTTTAAAGCCCCGTCTCTCGTGAAAGCATTTGTTGGCACTTTGTCTGCTGGGTTGTTGGGGATGGAGTTTGGGTTGAGGTTTTTTGGGTGTTTTTTTTTTTGTTGTTGTTTTTTTTTTTTTTTTTTTTTTAAGAAGTTCATTGTTAACAGTTTCCTAGAAATAGCCTTTCCGTCGGTAATAAAATGGCATTGTACAATCAGAAATCCGGGGGATCCCTGCCGCCGAAGGTAGCCCTTGCAGGCGCAGCCGGAGCCCGAAGGAAAAACCCCTTGTCTCTGGGTGGAGGTACCCAATTCGAGAGGGAAAGGTTTAGCCAAGGTTTTGTGTTTGTTTGTTTTTCTTGGCGTGAGGGTGCTCCTTGTGAGAGCCCACACCGACCTCAGCCCCATTAAGGCTTCGTACGAGGTGCTTTAACCCCTCGCAATTACAGGGAGGCCGAGCTCGGCGAACGTGAACGAGTGATGGGAGACAGGATCTGCTGTTAATTAAAAAAAAATAATAATAAATACTGGAATATGGAAACGCCGCTTTCTTCTTTTTTGAATCATCACGTAAATGTGATGATTCTGTGAGTCTACCATATCTTGTATTCCTTCTCCTTCTGCTAGTTAATTTTTTTATTATTATTTTTTTTTACCTCTCTCTCTGTTTCAGTCCTTTAGACAGAAAAGGCTGTGAGCTATTTCAAAATGTCTTTGGGCTTGTCCTTTAAGGAGAACGAAAAGGGCGTTTGCTTATTTTCTGGTTAAACTACAAATGCGGCAGGAATCTGCCGAAAGAGCAATGCCGAAAGAGCCCAAATCCCGAGGCTGAGGGCAGAACCGGCCACCAAACTACACACTAAAATCTCATCTTATCAGATAGGCGCTTCTGTGTCCAGGGAAATATGGAAATACAATAGGGGAAGGGCTGAGGCTTTGGGCGAAGCTGAGCGTACAGTCAGTGCTACTGTGCGATCTAACACCTTTGGAGAAACGGCCAGTGTGCTATTTTGTTTATTTTATAAGCTTTCATATTTAGGAAAAGGCATAATGTCA